TCGGGGGCTGTTTTGAATTTTCACCCCCGGAACAGCCTTTTTCGACTATGTTTAAGGCATTTTTGGCTCTAACTCCCAACCGGCAAGTGCGACTTACATTCTATCAGTTGTGATAGGTCCAATTTGTCACAGAAAAGCTAGATGTGACATCCATACGGTGGTTCGAGGGCTGTTTCGTAATTTCATCTCCTTAACGCCCTTTTTCGGTTAAGTTGTGTTTGGGAAGTTGGTTGTTTTTTTTTTTTAGTTGATTTGATGGTTGTTAGAGAAAAAGTAAAATTATTATAGTTTGGATGTATCATTTTGTCTTATTAACTATTTCTGTCTGTTTTTGTCATTATTAACTATTTTAATCTCTAACCTACTTTCCATTGAGAAGTTGAACACAAATTATACTTTTCTCTTCTTTCCCTCTATTTTTTTGTATCCATGTAACGAACGGGGAGCGCCAATATCCCATAAAACAAAATAGATTTCGAAAATAAAATCAAACTGAGTTTCTTTCACTACAACAAGTTGGGTCTTGAATGACAAAATGTTTTTGTCTTCAAAGAGCTAATTTCGTCACTATAGATATTTGTGAGGAAATATTTTCGTCACCGGTTTCGTCATTGAATGTTTGTCACTAAAAACCAACGTGACGAAAAAAAATTTCGTCACCAATGAAATTACTTCAGTGACAAAATTTTTTGTCACCAATAAAACAACATTTTGTCGCCAAAAATTATCATTTTCGTCACCAAATAGTTATTCAGTACCATATTTGTAACTTTAATTGACGAATAAATTTGTCACGCATGTTGATCATTGATGAGGAAATAATTTCGTCACAATAAGATGTAAAAGTGACGAAATTTTTCGTCTTCAAAAGTCATAATTTTTCGTCTTCAAAAGTCATACATGGGTGGCGAAATATATTTCGTGACAAATATATATATACGTGATAGAAATTTTTAGTCACCAAACAACAAAATAAATAAAAACTTTCATATATAAACTACAGTAAATTTTGTCACGAAAAAGTTTATTAGTGACGAATAATCACTTTGTCATAATAACAAGTACAAATGACAAAACAAATTCGTCACTAAACTTGTTCCATATTTTATATTCAATTTAAATTATTATTTCACAAATATCCCTGCTCATATCCCAATAGCCTTTTAATTGTACTAAGAAATCCACTAGCTATTATACATCACTCCACAAAAAAATTCACTAAACAATTTATTTTATAAATCAAAATATATCCATCAAACAACCTTAATAATAATCCATTAAGTATCACAAAAAAACCATCAAAGTAAATCCCAAAATAAACTAACGTGGAGTCCACCAAAAAAAATCAACACTCAATCTTAATTTGCAACTACAACTAAGCATCAGTTTAGGAAAAAAATTCAACAGTTGATCTTCATTTGCAAGTATGCTTCCGAACGTCATCAAAACCAATCTGCAAAGAAAATAAACAAGGCAAACATTAATATATTATCAATTACATCTAAACTCATATATAAATAATTTTATTTTATAAACCAATTTAGTAGAAATGCATATAACAATTCAAAACTTCAAAGAGTTGAGGTGATCCTTGATGATAAAGCAACACGGAAATAGAGACTTAGTTGATGAGACGTATTACAAGCAGCTGGTGGGTAGTTTAATGTATCTCACAACCACGAGACCAGACATGATGTTTGTAATAGAGAACAAATAAAAAAGAAAAACATGGTAGTATTTTGCACATATTCAAATATACAAGTGCCCTTTATGTTTCACAAAATGATTTTGAACCCCAATCTAATTTAGCATAGTTGCCTCAGATCATATGAAATCACTGCAATGCCCAATATGACTTAACAAATATGCACTTGAATACCACTCCTATAAATGATAGAAAATTGCAAGCTAATTGAATTCGTACTCCTAGACCTTGAAATTGCTCCAATACTGCCTATAATTTGACAAAGTACATTAAGCACTATAGCCACAACTGATTCAAAATGTGCTACAGGCTCCGTCTGTTTTTCAGGTCACAATTGAAAGCATTGTGAATGAGGGGATGTATTAGAAGCAAACATGCCATAATATGTCCGTGGGTGCAACATCTTGTCAACAGTGCGTGCATATTAAAGTTCTTACCAAAAATACATCAAGCACCAACCACAGTTCATCAAACTAGTTAAACCAGCCAAATCTTACCATAATTACAAAAAACATACAGGGACTTTCAACTTCTTCGAAGCTTTTAAAATAAATCCTTTTGAATTGATTTACAAATTTTTTTGAAAATAACTAATGATCTGAAAACTTTAGATTACTTCCGTAATGATAATATAAGCTATGTTTTTGTCAAAATAAAATACTTTTTCCACTATAATCTATTCTCACACTTCCTCGAATCACAAAATTCTTAAAAATATCTTTCAGTATACAAAGGTAAGTTAATAAATCTAAAGCCTGCCACAATGCAAAGACAAGGGCTAATCCAATCCCCACACAAAATGAATCACAAGGGGTCATAGATGAATTCTCTAAGATATCTACTTGCTAATAATAGCTGAGTATTCATCTGAGAAAAGTAAACAAACAATAAAATTTGTAACTGTAACAGTATTCTCTTTGCTTTACTTTTTCCAGGTCAAAAATTTTTAGTTGAAGCATATGGTGTAGTTAAGAATGCCTCAGCAAAGGCCAGCAAACATAAATCTAGGAATTAAGACAACATAATAGTCAATACAAGCATAACTTCTCATTTATAAACCTTCAACAATAGTTAAAATTTTGGTGGTCTAGAATTGATACTTCAACAACTAGGCAGTGCACTCTCTGAGATCATCAATCGTTGCCTAAGAAGCATGAACATGGACACATGGCCCAACATGGACACCGACACAGTAAATTTAAAAATTTAAAATATATATATGTATATATATCTGGAGACAAGACTAATTCCACAGATTCTTCAATAACTAATTCAGTATGAGCAAAAAAATTCAGTATGAGCAAAGAAATGAAATCAAAATTTGGTCCTCAGATTCTACAATAACTAATTCCACAACTTCATAGACAGAGGCAGACAGGTATTTTCACCCAATTAAGCACAATGGAAACTATTGGAAAGGTTTTCACTCTCTTAGAAACCGCAGTAGCATGATGGCACAAAAGGACAACATTTTATTTTATTTTCTATTTCCCCTCTTTCTAACATTTTCTCAGCTACCAAACAAAGAAAATCCTTAAAAAATAATAAAAATAAAAAAACACTTCATCACCACTGGCCTTTACCCACAAATTGCATAATTTTTTGGCCTTATGCTGAAGACAAACAAAGAGTATGGAAGAAAGTTGTACTAACAGAGAAGAACAGAGAAGTAACTATATAAGAACCTTGAAATGATATTTTAGTTTAAAATTGAACTGTCTTGATAGTTTAAAAAAATTAAATAATTGTTAATCATGAACTGTAACACAAGTGAATAAGTAGACATTTTGACAGAAGGTAACATGTATGTATGTATGAACAAAACAAAACTTAACTTACAAGAGTTAAACTAGGGTATACCCCAACACTTTTTACAGCCCAAAAAAAAAAAAAAAAAAAAAAAAAAAAAAAAAAACCTATGAAACAAATATTGGTTTTTAATCATCTCAAATATTGGTTTTTAAAATATTTATATTAATCTGTCAATTAAAATTGGGAAAAGAAGATTGCTTATGGGCCCCTTTGAGATAGCTTTTGCTTATGCATAATTGGTTTTCTTTGGATGCCATGTTCAGAAGTCTTAGTAGTTGTCAATAGTGACTATCTGACCATTTGGTTTATGGAATGCCAAATCATTTATCTATTTTATAGCGATATAATATTTGATTATAAATTAGATACATAAAAATTTCAACCAACTAATAATCTACTATAAAATATGTATTTTTTGTGCTTTTAAATGTGTAAAAATGACTAGATAGGCATATGCCTCGCGCACACACACATAAAAAAACAAAACAAAGAAAGCTTATCCAAATTAATGTCCAAATCATATCTAACACAGACAATAGCAGATGTGTCAATGTTGGCATACATATGACTTGTTTGACAAAGGAAACTCATATGAAAGTGAGCTGGAACAAGCAGAGACCAGGTTACAGACTCAACTGCAACAAAACACCAGGCCACAGCCCAAGCCACAGTGGCTGCAGCCTAGGCCACAAGCTCAGAACAGAGCAAAATATCAACTGCAGCCTAGACCATTTCTCAGATATGTTACTTGAATGATTCATGTACAAGCCTCTAAATACACCACAAAATTATGTAAGTACTCCTAAAAATTCATTTAAATTACAGTCCCCTTAAAGTACAATTAAGCGAGTTGGTAAGTGAGTATGTTTCTAGTTCGAATCTTCTTCTATTTGCGCACTAGTTGATGGTGTGACTATTAAACCTCAAATTTATCATATGGAATGAGTCTAGATGAGTTCTCAATTTTAAAAAGAAATGAAAACTTAGGGTAAAAGCCCTTAATCCATAAGAAATCAATTGTTTCAGTAAGCCCTTAATCCATGAGAATGAATGTTAAATCAAATTAAAATACCCTAAATCCATGAGAAAATATTAGTGTTAAATCAAAGAAGCCCTAATTCCATGAGAAAATACCCTAAATCCATGAGAAAGTAGATGTTTGAGTGTTAAATCGAATTAAAATGCCCTAAATCCATGAGAAAATATGTGTTAAATCAAATAAATCCTAATTCCATGAAAAAATGACATAAATCCATGAGAAAGTAGATGTTTCAATGTTAAATCAATGGGAAGTAGGTGTTTCAGTGTTAAAAAATTAAGAAGTAGGTGTTTCAGAGTTTAATCAGAAGATTCTTTAGATATAGAGAAAAAAAAATTGAAAGATTCATACCTTAAACAAACCAGATTCTTCTAAAGTACAACTATGGTGAGCCCTAGGGAGGAGCAGCGCTTGGGGAAGAGGCAGAAGGAATGCTGTGAGAGAGAGAGAGAGAGAGGAGAGCAAAAGAAATGAAGGAAAGTGAAAGAGGATTAATGTTGAGCATAAAGAACTGAGATTGAGCTAATTCATGTGTAGTAACAATGTTGTACAATTCTGTCCACAACTTTTAGGACCAAAGAGAGAGAGAGCAAATACTACACACCCAAAAAAATTTCAATAATCAAAAAGCTTCTATATATGGATGAGAAATAAACCAACATAGATGAGCCAAAATATCAAGCTAAGATTAATTAAAAACAATTTTTACTATATATTGTTGTAAAAGCCTGAAGGAAAAGAATTTTACTCTTCAGTTTTAGAAGCCATAGATGAACAGTACATGAACCTGCAACCTAGAAATGACGGAAGAAAACAATTTCAATTTGCAAGGCAGAAATAACATTAAAGGAAAGGTACTTTGAGAGTAATATTGAAACATAATTCAAGTGCACAATATTTGCAGAAAATAACCGTCTATACTGACAAAGCAACAAATCTCTTCAAGTAGTCTTTAGCTAGTTTGGGTTTTAGATCTTACAATCTTTGCAATGCCAACATCAGCATCACTTTCAAATGAAACAGCAACTTCATCCAAGATTGGAGCCAAGTTTTTGCAATGACCGCACCAGGGTGCATAAAATTCCAAAGGAACTGTGTAACAAAACCTAACCACATATCAACATGAATTGACTGATAACATGACAATCATTAAGATCTAATAAATTTTTCTTGGTTTCTGAGCTCTAAATCAATTATAAAAAAACAATCCAGAATTCTAATTGACATAAGGACCACATAAAAGGCCAAACACCAATCCCAAGTTACTAATATGGATACGAACAAATAAAATGTTGAAAAAACTACAGTTAATACATACCATTTTCCCCAGAGTTGAAAACATTGTCCTGAAGGCTGTCAGCAACAATAAATTAATCATTATTTATAACTATATAGTAGTTGAAAAAGATTTATTATTAAGAAAATTAAAATAAATTCAGTAATATATACAACCTATATGGAAAGTCATACTCATTAAAAGGATTTAATTAACACAACACTGACATACCTGCCATTGGGTTGAAGTAATTTACTACGACAAGCCACAAACTCCATGACAAAAAAACAAAACAATAAAGAAAAAACCTAGCCATTGTGGCATTTTATCAAACACCTAGCAAACACAATCAGAATATCATGAGACTTCATAGTGTGTAGAATCAACAACAATCCATTCAATTCAATGATTATATTGGTTATAATATGAATATCATAATCAGAATATCGAACATAATAATCATTATATTTCTCATATTTTTTTCCCAAATTAAAATCATTCAAGTTGTTCATGGAACCTTCAAAGTAGAGAGGTTATAGAAATGTTAGAAGCAATGAATGGAATGGATTTAATCTCATCTTGACCCAAACGCGTCTGAAGACAGAGTAAGGGTAGAGAATGAGAAACGAGAGACCCGAATAGAGAGAGGGGTAGAGAAAGAGGAACAGAGACTACAACTAACCTGGATTTCGTGGACGGTGCTGTGAGTTGGACAATGGTGCGAGAGAGAGAAACGAAGAGCTTTGATGAAGCTATACAGTCTGCCTCTGCGTGTGAAATGAGAGCAATGGATCATTTGGGTCAAGAGAATGGATTTGGTGAGGAATAGAATTTGTCTCCAAAACACAAAACTACGTAGTTTTATAAATTGAAATATTTGGTGACAAAATATTTATCCTCACTAATAATATTTTTAATGGAGACGGAATTTTTTGTCACTAACTTGGCGGCATAATTCCCCTCAAATTTTTTAATAGCGGAAAAAAATTTTGGTTAGACTATTTTTTTTCATCACTGCTTAATATGTTAAAATTCTTCTTTCAAAATTAGTGACAAAACAATTTTCTCACTAAAAGGCCTAAAATTATTAAAAATTATTGGTGACGAAAATATATTTCTCACCAAATGGTTTTAAAATATTTAAAATCAAATTTTTCAAAAAAAAAAATTTATTGGTGACGCGAATATATTCTTCATTATTAATTTTTTAATTGTTGAAAAAAAAAATCTCACCAAAAGTTTCTAAATTTTGGCACCATCAAAAAAAATTAGTGGGAAAAATTTAGGTGACGAAACTTATTTTTTTTCTCACCTAAAAGTAAGTATTTATTGACGGAAATACATTTCGTCACCTATTATTTTTATATTCTTATTATACGTGACAAAATTTATAATTCCTCATGGATTATTCTTATTTAGTGACGAAATTTGTTTTCTTCACTAATTTTCGTCACCATACCAATACAGAGAATAAGAGAAAGAGATACCAGAAAAAGAGCAAAGAGAAATCAAGTACCAAATCACCGAGCGAAGAAGACGTGGCGGTTACCGGCAAGGCTACTAGTGGCGGCGACGATCGGCAAGGCTAATAGAGGCGACGATGGTGATCGGCGTGGTGGAGGAGCAAGAGATAAGACAAATTAATACCCTATTTTGAGAGAGAGAGAGAGAGAGAGAGAGAGAGAGAGAGATAGAGATGATAAACAGAAAAGGGGTAAAAAAAATTAATACCCTATTTTTTCTTAATTGCCGCTCAATATATCAAAAATTTCCCACCAAAATTGGTGACAATATTATTTCCTCACCAAAAGATATCAAAAATATTAAAACGTTTTGGTGACGAAAATATATTCCTCACAAATAATTTTATAATTAGTGACAAAATTTTTTCTCACCAAAAGTCTCAAAATTTTGGCGCCACCCAAAAAAAATAGCGGGAAAATTTTTGGTGACGAAACTTAATTTTTCCTCACTTAAAATGAAGTATTTATTGACGAAAATAAATTTTGTCACCTATCATTTTTATTTTTTTATTATATGTGACAAAATTTATAAATTCCTCACAAATTATTTTCATTTAGTGACGAATTTTATTTTCTTCACTAGTTTTCGTCACCATAGGTTACTTTTGTTGTAGTGTTTTCAAATGTGTAACTATTTAAAGTTTCATTATTCAACAGTGAGTGAGAATGTACCTTTTATTATGCTCAATATGAGTTGGGTTGATCTAAATATTGAAGATCTTGGCAAAACTTTATAAGCATTGATCTTTCTAAGGAAATTGTCTATGAAAGAGAATGGGGTGACTGCTTGCATTCTCTATTTCAATGTGCTCAAGACCAGAAGCTCCTTTTTCTCTATGGTTCTTTCTAGCTTCAAACACAAATTTAGACTCACCCACCTGTCACATTCCTCATTATGATTGGAACAATTGGATCTACATATGCCTAATAAAGTTCAACTAGAAAAAAAGAAAAGAAAAAAAAAGAAGCTGCTATGGATTCAAAAGGTTCCTCACCCTTAATTGCATTATAATTTCAATAATCTAAGTATGGCTATATGTCATTTGAAATTAAATTTTTGCACCATATAATGTTACTTTTAGCAATCTATCACCTTCCATTTCAAGCCTATTTGTGCCCTTTCTCCATTCAGCTTACTATCTTCCACTTTCTCAAACCTAACCCCAAAAGTTGTGCATAACCTCCATAGATTATTAGTAGAATTTTAAATGTTTGTAGAGATGTCAAACAATACAATACCTCAGTTGCATATAGTATGTTTACAGCCTAGATACATGCAGCTACCGCAAATTGATCTTATAGTGGAACCATTGGCATCATCCCACAAGAAACCCAAGTAAATTGAAAAAAAAGGTTGTACCTAATGATGGTTCTATAAATTCAGGTGCTGAAAAGGGCAGAATGTGTAAACCAACCCCCTGGCATTGTTTGCACAACAAAGCCATTCAGAGAGATACAAAAATGTATTTGAAGTAGACAGAATCAGAGCACCCTGTGCATTAGACTAGCAATACTTGGTCTTTTTGAACATGTGTCAGAAAATTCATTTGCATCATAAACCAACCAACCAACCACTTAATTCATCTACGATATCCTTTAGGTTCACTGTTTCGAAATTTAGTAACTATTGCTTAATCAAATCCACTCATTTCCTTTGAAATAAAATATCTATAAAAATACCTAATTATTAGATAGGCACAACTAAAGTCATAATCAAATGTAGAAAAAATGCTTCCAGCCATAAAAAATAATACATGGAATAGAACAAAACCTGCCACATGCAACAACAATGTCATCAAACCCTGCTTCACTATTCCCACTATGGAGTTGCTGCTCTATCTCTTTAATTGCTTCGATATAGCCCCTGAACAGAACCAAATCTTTTATAAATACAATGAGACAGATCAATATAAGAAAAACAGGATGCAAGAGATCAAAAGCAAAGTGCTAACATCAACACATTGAATGTAAGCTTTTACCATAGATCATAGAAGTTGCAAAGGAAAATATGGAACAGGTTATGAAAACTTGAGTTTCAGAGTAGTAAAGTTCAATTTAGTCAAGAAATATTTCACTTTCTATAAAAGAAAAATCCAATTACCAAAAATAAAAGGCAATCTTTTTATCAACCCATTACAGCCTTTGACTGAAAATAACATGAATCGAGAGCAAAGCCAAACCAAAACAATCTTCATGTTAAATTCCAAGAATGTATGTGTCATGTGTGTGTGTGTGTGTATGTGCATGTGCATGCGTAGTTGCTTTGGTTTGCATACATATCATTATTAATTTATGCATAGTACTATGATAATTCCTTTATCTTTATGTGCATGATGAGATGAATGGCTTTGTGTGATTTACTGTGAATATGTTTGCTTGGTTTAACATGTCAAGTTGTGAGCTTGTCACTGATTGGAAGTTGGTATGAGTGAGAAAATGACTTAGGATGGTTGGAACTAGAAAAACACTGACAATTTTGAATAATACCTCCATTGGAAAAACACCTCCATTGTAGTTGCTGCATCATTCAATAACAATTTTGAATAAGAACAATGTAGTTGTTGTTTCATAGATGTTCTATTTTAAAGCAAAATGCCTCAATTAAGCACTCCAGTGAGGAAGTCTAACCTAACCTGCTAATTTGTGTTCCATTTCATACCAATTAGCACGATTATGAAGCTTATAGCCTACCCAAAGCACATTTTGAAATTCACCAAAATACGACTATAAGCTAAAATCCACACACATGCTCCAATCTAACATGACAGAAAACAATAATAATAATAATTTAAATTCAGAATATATATATATATATAGAGGGAGAGAGAGGTGAGAATTGGAAGGTGAAGCAAAATGTCATTCACATGGTCACACAACCTTTCATTGAAAGACTCATAAAAATGGTGCAATCCCTCCCTTTACATGCAAGAATGTGCTTTGGCATTTTAAGAGGAGAACACTTTTTAAAATTTGACTTCATTTGTAAGGTTATTATATTCTGGGGTGAATGCTCATATGAATCAAATTTTACTTTGATTTTTTGACAAGGAAAAATTGCATTTACCTTCTTAGAGAAGAGACAACATCTATAGGACTTCCTGACTCGATGCTTCACTGCCAAGCCTTATCAAGCTCCATTGCCAGCTGAGCCTCTCCCCTCAAGACGTAAGGTACAGAATAAAGAAGTCTATGAAGATAAATATATATATATATATATATAAACCTATAAAGCAACAAAATAATGAAATATTAACATATCCAACGGTCTCAATATCAACAGGCACAAAATTTGCAATACCAGTATAACAAGTGTAGCCTGAATATGTGGCTTCCGTGGATCCAAACAAATTTTTCCTCACCTGTTCAAGAGAAATGAGTATCTATAACTTTCACACTACACAGAAAATCTATATAACATTTTCTAGACACCAAAGGAAAACACAACATTTGCAATCTTCCACTTTTTGATGAATTTCTCCAAAAAAAACTTGCTCATTGGGGAAATTAAACAAGACAGTTTCTTGAAACTTCCAGGAGTATAAAACGGACATAAACCTAAAAAAGGGGCAAATTTTAGTACATTAGGTACCTATGGCCAATAAGGTTAGACTTTTTTGGCATAAATCATCTCCAAAAAATTGTTAACATACATCACCGCCCCAATATCAGCATAATGTGTAATTTTATATTTGCAAACATTATGTTGTTTTTTTCAAAAACAAATTTCAAAACAAGCTTTTATGTTTAAAAACACTTCCTAACAGTTGCAGATGGTTTCATTGATATAAAAAAAATATAAAAATAAAAATAAAAAAGAAAGCTATAACTAGCATTTCAATCTTCAATTTTGCCAAGCAAGATTCAAATATAAAATCCACACAATTTCCAGCTAACCCTTAACATAACACCCGAGACAATCCCTGGGAGAATTAGCAGTGTCATTGACTCAAACAAATTCACATAAAAATGAATTACATGTATTTAGTCATAATTAATCTGTGTTAAACAGAATTGATATGAACTAAGGTTGAGGGATAGCTTCAATATTACAGTACAAGTACATGTTTACATATATATCAACCACTCAAGTTATAACCTTTACTGTTTGATAAATGGCAATTGAATTGGCATTTTTTTTCTTAGTTTAGTGCCCTTACATGGTGGCAATAGAATTGAGCAAATTCAAACTAAAGTAACAAATTCAGCAACAAAAACACAAAAAGAACTTGCAAACTTATTGAATTTTTCAATTGATCGCCTCAAGAGTAATTGAAAATTCATTGGAAAGAACTTGAATCAAGAGTATGAATTTTTGTCCAATATGGTGTTAAAATTATAATTCTTTTCTATGAAATACAAATGTTAGATACGAAAAAAAATATTTACAAAGAATAATAAAAGCGCCAAATACCAAACAAAAATGTTGGATTAAAAAAAAAAAAAAAGGAGGCTAGGGTTTTTACAATTGAAAAAATTAAGGAAATGGGCAAAGAATGAGAAACAGAGACCGAGAGAAAATTAACACACAATTAAGCAATTA